GTCGTCCCTCGTGGTGATTTTTCCTCTTTTTTTTCTTTTTCTTTTTTTTTAATGTTTTCGCTTGGGTGGTCGCGCGGTGAACCGTTATCAAAAATAAAAATTGAACTGTCACCGAAAAATAAAAATTGAACTCTCAAAAAAAAAAAAAAAAAAAATGGAAAGAAAAAAAAAACTTATTCCCCGATTTAGGGGAAGATTTTTTTTGTTTTTTAGAATCCAATTTCCATTGCACATAAAGGTTAATGTCGTCGGGCGTCTGCACGTTTGCGGGGGGGGGGAATTGTGGGTAATGGGTTGGTGGGTTGTCATTGCATAAAATTCGGTACAAATTATTAAGAACAGGGTTAAGCAGTAAGGACTTAGGTTTGCGGGTTTCTGACAATGGCAATGAAACAAAACAACATACATGCAAAACTCTCTATGATCTCATAAATGAAGAAGCACAGGAACCGAAGCATAAAACATTTCATAACACCACAAATGACAGATACTCCTTCCAATTGCACACAGTACGAAGTCAAGAATAGTTGGAACACCTGAACACAAACTCATAGAATGTAAACCGCCATATAAACAAAATCTGACGTGGCGATGGCAGCGAAAAAAAATAATAACAAATGATCAAATGTCGTACATGAAACGTAATGAAAGCATGCGTAAGTCTATCGTCTGAACTCTCATGTCGTATGACAAAACAAAGAGTTTAGGACATTCGTGCGCTAGCAAAGGAATGACAATAAACCATCTAGCCGGAAAAAAAAACACTAACTAATTAAAAAAAACATGAGATCGGTGCGGCCATAAGTAACAACACGTACGAAAAACACGTGATGCTAATGCGACCTCTCGCCTCCCGTGAGCCAATCCTCGCGTCACGTCTCATCTAAGTGAAGTCTTTCCCAAGGCACGTGCCCAGCTCATGGCAGGTGGACGACGTCGAGGTCGTGGAGGGAATATGCCCGTGACGATGCGATGGACGGGCAGGTCATGCCCGGAATCCAACGCTGGTAGACGTGACGGACAATGTGCGGTCATCAATATGTCATGTTGAACGATGGGGGGAACTGTAAACTCTCGCTAACCCATGACCATCCCCATCCCGCCACCTGAAGGTATGATGGGTCCCTTTGATGTGCGAAGCCCACCAGGGGGCGCAACACAGCCAAGTCCCCCCTCCACGCCTGACGCAGGTATAGTCATACATGTACATCCCTGCTTGTGCACCGTCTGTCGTGCCTCCTCCTCTACATTGACACGAGTCGAGACTGCCTCGTCCCCTACCTCGACACGAGTCGCGACCGGCTCCTCATCCTGGACCTCCTCCACGTCTCCTATCGGTCCCGCTTGCAGATCTCCGAATACGACCGCATTCTTGCCATCCACCAGCTTAGCATCCACGGCCTCTCCATTGTGTGCCTCTACCATAGTGTTGTCAACTACTCTTTGACCAGTCGCCTCTTCCCGCATGTCCCTCTGCCACCACGGCGGTCTCTCCGTCATGTGCCTCTACCACGACAGATGCACCGCCGACATCCGCCACCTCTCTCTCTCTCTCTCTCTCTCTCTCTCTCTCTCTCTCTCTCTCTCTCTCTCTCTCTCTCTCTCTCTCTCTCTCGCTCTCCCCGCATGTCCAGCGTCAGCACCTGCCTCCACCACCAATCCCGCATACCTTGACGTCTCTGTGTGGAGGTAGTAGTTGCACCTCCCACCAAGTCGTCCTCCACAATCAGCCCTCCACTCTTGCCTCCTGCTCCTGTACGGACGTATCCGCACCCACTAGTGCCACCTCCTGCTCACATACGATCACATGAGATCCCTCCAAATCCGTTGTCGCCCTTCCCACCATCTCCAACCTGCGTCTGGCATCCATCTCACGTGCCATAACCTATGTGCACGGGTCACTATCCGCCAGGGTTTTCACCCTAGCGGCCTCCTCCTCATCCTCTCAAGCCTCTCGAGCCAAGCGCTCCTCCTATGTCTCTGGTGCAGGCTCTCCCACAGACGGTGGTTGTGCCTCATGTCGGACCGTATGTATGTCTGCCTCCTGCGCAACAATGACCTCACTCGTCGTCATTGCAAGCACAGTGGCCTCGAGCTCCTCTATGAAATCGTGCATGGAGGACGAGTCCATGTCAGGATCCCCAGTGCAGCCTCGCCATCCCGTGCCCCCTCCTCATCCTACTCCCTGCGACAGACACTACCACTGGGATGCTTCCCCATCGTCCCCAACTCCCCCAACGGCCATGCACTCCCCAATGCAGCACCAACACCAGCATCCACACCTTTGGTACCCATGCCTCCTGCTCCTGTACGGATGTGTCCCCACCCACTAGTGTCACCTCCTGCTCACATACGATCACATGAGCTCCCTCCAAATCCGTCATCGCCCTCCCCACCATCTCCAACTCGTGTCTGGCATCCATCTCACGTGCCATAACCTATGTGCACGGGTCATTATCCGCCAGGGTCTTCACCCTAGCGGCCTCCTCCTCACCCTCTCGTGCCTCTTGAGCCAAGCGCTCCTCCTATGTCTCTGGTGCAGGCTCTCCCATGGGCGGTGGTTGTGCCTCATGTCGGACTACATGTATGTCTGCCTCCTGCGCAGCAATGAACTCACTCGTCGTCATGGCAAGCGCAGTGGCCTCGAGCTCCTCTATGAAATCGCGCATGGAGGACGAGTCCATGTCAGGATCCCCAGTGCAGCCTCGTCATCCCGTGCCCCCTCCTCATCCTACTCCCTACGACAAACACTACCACCGGGAGGCTTCCCCATCGTCCCCAACTCCCCCAACGACCATGCACTCCCCAATGTAGCACCGACACCAGCATCCACACCTCTGGTACCCATGCCCCCCAGGACAGCATCTACATAATTGCGTCCTTCGTCAGCTCTCTGTCCCCCCTCCGTCCTTACCACCCCCGATGACGGCGGCGAATAGGATCTAGTAAAATTTGTGTCTTGGGGTCCATCAGACCCCTCAACCTACAAAGCGTCATACTCCCGCCATCTCCCCCCGAAACAATCGCCGTCCTTGGGCAAACCTCGCACCATGGAAGATGAACCCCTGCCTGCTCTGCCCTATCCATCATTAGCTCCTCGCATACCCCGTATGCCCCCATTTGCTCGGCAACTGTCATCCCTCGTGGCAGGCCCATCATGTATGGACGGAGGTAAGGTATCACCCAGTAGCATCTCATGCGGGATCCCAAATCCGGCCCAACACCCCTCACCTCCCCCCATGCCCGTCCCCGCGTCCTCGAACACATCTCTCCCTGCACTTTGTCGACGAACCTCCTCAGGGTCACTCCAAGCGTCGTCATCATACTGCGGATGTGGAGAATCAGCAGCACTGCGGGGGCAAACTCCCTCATCCTGTACCTCACGCTCGTCTCCACTGGGATCATCCCTCGGGTGCAACCGTAGAGTGACCACCCATCGCCCAAACACATCCTCTACCTCTGGAGGTTGTCGCGACCTGCAAGCATCCCTCCGCCACAACCAGGCCTGCGCATCACGGTCCCCCTCACGTCCACCCCCTCATAGACAGGCTTTATCTCAAGGCCTCCCTCCACATCCAAAATGGACTCCTCGTGTGTCCATGGAAGAACAAAACCACCCCCCATTCTTTGAAGAGCCAGAAGTCACGTGTTGGCCGTGATCTCGACCAACTTGGCGACATTCTAGAATGCCAACCTGTTTCCCTTCTTCATGTGTGTACTCTCGTGGATGGCCTAATTCCTCTCTGTTGGAGAGGAGCACGTCCACATGTACATCACACGAAAAGCGATATGTTGAAGCTTAGGCACGCAACCGCCATACTGTGACCACGAAAGACCGCTCTCAACGGTCTCCTGGTTCCCAACAAAACTATCTGCAGCGGCATGTGCATGATCTCCTCCCAAGCACACGTCGACATCCGCATGTGAAACTTCTGCAGTTGCACGACACCGTCCTTGTACTCCTTATCTCGCTCGTCAAGCCCGGTTTGCGAGAAAATGTACCGCTCCGCCTCCCTTATAAGTCTTGCATCCTGGTCGTTGACCACGCTGTCGAGCGCATCGGTTCAGCAAGGGGACTCTCCGGGCCACGTCACGCAAGATTTTGCAAGACTTTTCGCAGAGAGCGTTTGCCGCTCGGACCGAGTGTGCCGGCTGTACCTCTCGTGAGCCCTTACGACAGGATAGGACCATGCAAGGCACAACTTACCTCCACCCGTGGGAGTTGTCACCATCCCTTCGGTGGGCGTATCCCTGCCGAGCTACCAAACCACATGCGAAGGTTTTTCATATGCAATTGCAGAGGTGGCTCAGCCGAGAGCGTTTCTCGTTCGCTGTAGCATAAAGGGTATGCGCATTTAATGCCCGAATCAGATCCGAGCGCGAATCGTCGCCCGAGGTGTTGATCTCTCGAACGCGATCCTACGCCGGTCGACAATGACGGTCATTTTAACCACGCGATACACTTTCCAACAAAAATTCACTCCTACATACAATATCGGCCATAGTCCCTTTTCCGCTCGACCCATAACTGTTCTTGTCCTTGAGTGCTCAAAGGCCGTGTGAGAGACCTCACATAAACGATCGTCACGCCGCGAGCCTTAGTCATATTGACTGGCCATGCGCAAATTCATTAGCAGTCGCTATGATGGAGTACTATGTGGTGCCCATAAACATGTGGCCCCATTTGAAACATGGGCTCGCATTCGACGCTCGGGTATCGGTTAACACGCGAGGTAAAGCGTTAGTCCCTTAACGAGCGCAAAAACAGACCGAGCACCCTGCCATCTTCTGCACCCTGCTATGCCCCAAGCAGGGTAGGGCATGATGGCACATAGGGCAGAAGGGAACTTGGAGTGGTGGTCATTTGTCTGGTGCACCACCAACAACACACTAACCCTTCTACCTGGAACCTTGTTGTTCCACCAACATAACTTTTAAACAACGAAAAAATCAAATTTGTCGTGTGCGCGAGAACGTGTAAATGTTCATAGGTCTTGGCCTATCCTAAAAACGTGTGTGTGCCGACTACGACAGGCGTACTCAAGAAAATGTTTGATCCACATCTAGTTCCCTTTGCGAATATATTCCGACCTAACTTAATTTGAAAAACAACTTCAATTGTAGTTCGCACAACGGAGTTTAAAAGGAAACCAGGAGTGAAGAAAAACCACAATACTCAGTTATGCGGACTCTTGCAATGGATTGTCATGGCGATGCTTCACTCGTTACTCATAATTGCTCAAACCTTTGCGGGCTTCTACGTTACGTACGACACCTAAGTGTCAGAAATGAAGGATTGTGAAGGATAAGTTGTTCAGCCCTTGCGGCCCCTCTGACCTTTGGGCAGAGCGCTACGATGGGCGAAGCGCAAATATTTAATATGTAGGGGAAACCCTTTTGTGCTAAACGGGACTCTGAAATGTCCTGGACAAGGACCTCGAATGCCAGGTTCAAGACCAACGTCCAACCAACTAATTCAAATAGCAAAAATAGGTGTATCTATCGTTGCGAGACTCGCGCATGGGTGTATGCACGTGCCCTTTTCCATAATGACTACGCAAAACAAAATGGTTCAATCACTCAGAGGAGGGGGTTATGTGGCATCAGACAATCACTCTCACAAAAAAAAAAAAAAAAAGATGGTTTGCCCATCAACATTCACGCAATACACAAACAACCATCGAGACTCAATCCAACATCTTTCACGCATACCTGCGATCACACAAAGTTTAAACAACAATATCATACACACCAAAAGAATCAACTTTACCCTTCCCTGCAACTCATACCCTGCCTTATGCATACAAGCCCTAACCATTTTACCACCATTCCATAGCAAAGATACTCAATCTTCAAAAATGGTCATTAAGAATTCAAGGTGAAAATCTAAAAAAAGTTGAAAAAACATGAAAAAAACACAAGGCCTAATGCCTTAGGTTGAGATACAGAAGCGGGTAAGTTGCGTCGTAGAACGACCCGTTATCAAAGGATAAAAGAAGATTGACCCTTTGTAGGATTAGACCGAACAAATTGAACCTTCAATCGAATGTATAGACCTGCATCACAAAACAGGCAAGAAGCGACCAATACTACGTTTAAAACAGTTGGAGGACATGCTGCATTTCGTAGCCCAACTCCTCTACTAAGTTCCCTCTTACCTTCCTCTAAATGGTACCAACAGTTATTGAAAGTTTTGGCAGCATCTCCCCAAAACAGGGTGGATTGCCAAACTATTCCTAGCAGAAAATAATCTAACTCTCCAAATTTCAGAAAATTTCGTCAGCGCTTCCCGTAGGAAAAATGTCTTTCCAGAATTATGAACTCAAAGTCACTAACTTTTTTCAAATTTATGAAAATTTCGGCAGTCATAGCTACGCCGGACCGGACACCGGACCGAATCCGAAACCCGGACCTCAGACCTCATACCTCCCGGGCCCTTCCGGACTTCCGGAAAACCGGAATATTCCAGAATATCCGAATCGATCCGGATCCCCTATCCGAATTCCGGTCCGGATTCCGTTTATTGTCCGAAAAAAAGAAAAAAGAAAAAAAACGGTTGTACTCCTACTCCACATCATGAACTTTGCCTCCTATCTCGTCCTCCTCTAGTTCTCCTCCTACTCCTCCCCCTCCTCCTTCTCGTCGTAGCTCTGGTGTAAGGGGTGTGTGTGTATACAAGGCCTAGCTACGCCAT